GGGAAAGAGGAAAGAACTTTAGTGCTCTGAAAAAGTGTTAGGAAGGTGGAGGCAGAGGTGGGTGGGAGGAGGGATCCCCTGTGCTGGGGGCTGGAGGAGGCGGTGGCAGTGTAAGGAGTCTTTACATGGCCAAAGGCTGAGGGTGGGCCATGTAAACACTTCCTGAAATCCATCATTTTTGATGGGCAGTTAGCTAATTATTTAAATACTGTCAGTAGAAGACGTAATATTGGTGTACCTGTGGATATTATATAATTTAAAGAACCTATTGTAGAGAAACGAAAGTGAAATACTTTTTCAGAAAAATGTTGTTAAGGGGTATAACAAAGGTAGTACTGTGTCAACATTAAACAGTTTTAGACTTGTATATTTAGCCATCTTGTCTGAAATGCTGTAGATATATGACAGTGCTTACCTTTACAATACAGTTCTCCATCTTTGTCTGTAACATTGGTCGATTCTAAGCTCTTTCCACATATGGCACAGCGGAAGCATGTCTTATGCCAAGGCTGCGAAAGTTAGGAAGTTTGGAAGAAAAAAAAATAGCCAGCTACATCAAGTAATTTGGACAAGTAATGTACATTTTCTTTCCCTGAAAAGATTAAAAGTTGTGCTGCTTTCATTTTCAGTTTATTCTATTCATTCTCAGCCTATATTTTTGGACTTTTAGAACTTGTAACAAGTTTTAGGAGATTATGTATATTAATCCTCTCTCTTTGTAGTAGAAGTAGTGTCATGGCCCTGCACAATAGATCAAGCCAGATTTGAGTGCCCGGGCAGCAGGCAAGGCCACATGGAGCCCTGGAGCCTAATCCTGGGCAGTAGCACAGGGACCCCAGAGCCCAATTTAAATCACAGGATCAAAACCAAGGGCACACTGATCAATGCCATATGTCAGAGTGTCCATAACTATGTTAAATGCATGGATGCAGAGTGCCATATATCTCCCTAATTATAAAATAATTTAACGACAAAAAGTCAACACCAACAAATTCCTTTGAATTCATTTTTTTTAAAGTGTAGAACTTAAACAGTTGAGATTGATAATGTGACAGTTTTTCATTTTAAGGTATCTAGTTCAAAGTTGTCCCCAGGTCAATTAAGTCCAAAACCAACTACTATCTAGTATCTTTTTAATAGCCTTTGTGAAATTGTTGGCACAGCCAAGAACTAGTAGAGCAATGAAGATAGAATTCTGTCACAAGTAGATGGTTGAGGTGTGGGTTCTGGTACATTGCGACAGCAAAGCAGAGTAGCTTGAGATACTACTTTCTATGTGGCGGCTTATCTATGATTTAAAGAAGATTTCCATATTAAGGACCATCTATTTCTTTAATTCAACAGAATTTTAAACCAAACAGCTTCAAAATATTTTTTCTTAAATGAAAAAAATGTGATATCTTACTTTTCCTCCTCCCATTATTTTCTCTGCAGCGTATACTGATTTAGCACAGCGAGGGCACTTCTCCACATCTCCAAACTTTTTGGCAAACTTTGAAGGGTTGGTAGGTGTAGAAGGACGAGCAGGCTTTGGCGAACTTCTGAAAACAGATTTAAAACACCACTTGAAAAATAGTGTTTCCATTATAAAAATAATTTTCTGTATTTCAATATATACTATATAGACTCTTAAGTGTTAATCCACACTTATGTATTAAATCTCAGGATATCTATCCTGACATTCAAGACAAGAAAATCAAAATAGCCTGCAGCATATTCTGTGTTTGACAGTATTGAGAAGCTGGCATTGTGACTAAAGAAGCAGCTGCATACTACATTGGTGGTACCGAGTAATAGTTGGACAAAATACTACACAGCCAAAGGGAAGACATTGGCTTCATGAAAGAGACAACATGAGACAAGGGGAAATACAAAGCAAAATTGCTGTCTAATCAGCTACCTGCTGGGCGCATCTACACAGGACACTATGCCATAGCTTGTTGCTACAGCGACATAGTATTGGTGGGCATGAATGGTGACATACTACTACACAGTAGCAGCGAGCTATTGCACAGTAGCTTGTTACTGTGCACTAGCTTGTTATTCCGCCGTAGGGTCAGAAACAAGCCATTCACTGCTGGGACTGCGCAGTAGCAGTGATTACTGCACAGTTATTTTGTAGTAAATGTAAAGCAAGTACTAAATCAGAGGTGGGCAAAATACAGCCCATGGGCCACATCTGGTCCACCAGGTCATTCTATCTGGCCTGTAGGGCCCCTAAAAAATTTAGTAAGTTAATATTTATTTGTTCCTGGCAGCCTGTCAAAGCTGAGAGGAGCCAGGGGCAGTAGGACCCAGAGAGAGCCCTCAGCAGGCTTGAGCAGCTCAGCCCTGCCCAAGGCCCAGCCAGTTCCCTGCTTTCCTGCCCCTGCCCTGCTCCAGCAGCACCTGGCTCCTGGCTGCATCACCAAACTGTGGAGCACAGGTGCGGGGGTGTATGTGTAGGCTTGGGTAGAGAGAGAGAGTGTGTGTGTGTGTGTGTGTGTGTACGCGCAGGCTCAGGCAGTGTGTGTGTGCAGGCATGGGCAGAGTGTGCACGCAGACACAGGGCAGAGTGTGTGTACAGGCTCGGGCTGAGAGTGTGTGTTCAAAGGTTGAGTCCCACATGCACCCACACCCTCCCTTGCACTGCCATACACAAACCCCAGGCACCGTCCCCCCACAGATCCTACACCCACCCACATGCTCCCTCACCCCACATATGCACAGCCTCCACAAACCTATACCCACCCCCACAACATACAAGAGTAAGACTTCATTGTAAGCTATTGTGCGATCACCTCTGTGTACACTACACAAACACATGTAAATCAGGACAAAATTTTTTTTTTTTAAATCAAATTAATGAATGTTGTGGATGTTTGATTTTTAGAATATAATTTGGTATTTTTCTGGTTCCAAGGTGGCAAAACCCCTTCCAGGGGCGGGAGGGACTTCTGGTGGCAAAGGTCAGGCATTAGGGGGTGGGGCTTCCAGTCACAAGACAGCAGCTGGGGCAGGGCACCTGTCAATGGGTGGGGCTACCCATGCAGCCCTTGACAGCTTGTCAAAACTCGGTAAGTGGCCCTGCGCCCAAAATAATTGTCTGCCCCTGTACTAAATGCTAAAGCAAATACTAAATGACTGTGCAGTAACAACTGCACATTTGGGGGCACGTGTCGACACGCCAGGTAAGACTTAATAGTGAGAACAATCAAATAGGAGGCAGATTTCACACACTGTCCTTTCTCTGCTCTTTTTAAACCTTCATCAAGTTTTAATGATTTTCAAAAAGTATGCTATGTCAAAGTCAGAAAAATATTTTCAACCTTTCTTTCTTTCCGGTGTTAGGTTTTAGTCGTCCATGAGGTGACTGTTGGATTACTGGATTGTCATACTGCAACAAGTCAATAAATGTCTAGGAGCTCAGGATTTGCTAGTTTCCATCTTGCTATTGGTAACAGATACGTCTGTGGCTATGGGTTACAGATAAAATATGTCCTCCAAGATTGTACTTTTTAGAATAAGATATTTGTTAACTGTCTTTATTGCAATGTACCAGAGGAAAGTGATGGAGTCATTTAATAGTTTTCAGCAAGTCTCAAAGCTGCTAATTTCTATGTAAACAATTAACACAAGCAGTTATCTACAATTAGGGCTCTCTAGAGATCATATTAAAATCCCCCCTCTGGGTCATATACCCTCAGCCATTCTGTACACAATACATGACGTATCAGGGAAAATGTAGAAAACTTTCTCTGTACAGGGAAATAGTCTAACAGCACATGATACTGTGAGTTTTCTATATTAATAAAATCAAAGATACTTTGCATAGAGGGGTATAAGCATTTGAGTCTATTGTTCCATGATGAGCATGATTCTACCATTGTGGCACTAATAGCAAATTACATTTACAGTGAATATTTAGCTCTAGTGACATGTAAAGCAAAAAGCTCCTGTAGTGTAACTGCCCAACGGAATAAGAAGTTATTTTAAAAGAAGAGACTGAACATTATTAAAAATTGGTAGAATTACTAGACCCACTAAAGAAAATCCTGGAGGAGAGTCTGCTCTGCTGCTTAAGTTCAACATTGTTATGGAAACCAAGTAAGGTACCTGATAAGTGGAGAATGTACCACTGGGGGGAAAAACGGTATTGTCAGTGCAATTTAACTCACTGTTGTAGATCCAAGCCTAGATGTTCACCGGTATCAGTACTGAGGCATCCTGCCCCTTGTCCAAATCCAATACCTTTGGGGCCATATTTTCTTCCATAACAGGTTTTGCAGTAGATTTCAGATTCGTGAGCTGCCACTGTGGTACTATCCAGAGCTTTTCTGCAAGCCACTAAAAACATGGGAAAAGTGCATATAGAAATTTGTATTCACAAACCTGATTTAACATACTTAAATGATTACAATATAAAGAATTTGTCTAGTCCTGGAAGTGGTTAGTTTACATAAATAAACATTATACCTTCATCTAGGATACTGGATTAATTTCTGGTTGCCCTATAAAAAGAATATAGCAGGAGAAGGGAGTACTGCTATATAGTGTTTGAAGGGGAAATAAATTGAATCTAAGTTGACCCCTAATAATTATGTTCTGTATAGGAACATTTATAAATTTGTTATAATTTTCCAAGAATAGAATCTAATTATCAGAGGGTTGTCTTGAATTTGTCCCATTCCCATTGCTGTGGGTATGTGGGGGAGGGAAAATTGTTGCTGTAGGGCACAAGGTGGCCCCCTGGCTCTCTGCCCTCCATGCTTTGTTCCTTGCAGTCTCCATGCTGACTGAGGGGGGAACTCATCTTAGATTCAAGTGCATACAATATTTGCAAATTAACTTTATTCCATGTCCATATCTATGGGCTTTCACTGAAATAGCATACATACACATTAATAAATAATAATGGAACCTTATAACCTTCTTAACCTTCTCTTCATTGCATCCTATGAAAAAAACATTCAATCTCTGCAAAAATTCATTTAGCACTACTGTGAGTTCACCATGCAGAAAGCTATGGTTTGTTTGACCAGTGTTCTTACAGAGTTCATAGACATTAGGACTGGAAGGGACCTTGGGAGACAGATTCCAGCCTCC